ACCATGTCATGGAATTAGGTAGAAATCCATAGCACAAAAAAGAGGACTTTGTATCCTTAGGTGAGCCAAATTTCCAACAAGGTGAAATTCCAAGAACTCTTGGCAGTTGTATTATGTTGGCGCGCCTGTATTTGGAAGGTAATGAATTTGAAGGAACAATTCCTCAATCTCTTAAAAGTTTAAGAAGTATGGAAGAAATAGATATTTCACGCAACAACTTATCTGGGCAGATTCCTGAATTTTTAGGCAAGTTTACGCATCTTAACCATCTCAATCTTTCTTATAATGATTTTGAGGGTGAATTGCCTAAAGAAGGGATCTTTTCAAATGCAAGTGGTCTCTCAGTTATTGGAAACAATAGGCTCTGCGGTGGCCTCCCAGAATTACTTCTGCGTGCATGCTCCAACAAAAAGTCACATTCATCTCAACGACTACTTGCCCTAAAGGTAGTCGTCCCAGTAGCTTGTGCACTTGCCTTCATAATTGCTATGTCATGCTTCATTGTTGCTCGTTCAAAGGTGAAAAAGTCAAGAGGTGGACCTGCAGCTTCACATTCTTATAAGGGTTGGAAATCAATCTCTTACTTAGAACTCGTTCAATCAACTGGCGGGTTCTCTGTGGACAACCTAATTGGTTCGGGAAGTTTTGGTTCTGTTTACAAAGGAGTATTTCCTAACGATGGGAGGGTAGTTGCTGTTAAGGTATTAAACCTTCAACAACAAGGAGCTTCCAAGAGTTTCATTGATGAATGCAAAGTTTTAAGAAGCATACGACACCGTAATCTTCTCAAGATCTTAAGTGCATGCTCGAGCATTGATAATCAGGGTAATGACTTCAAGAGTCTAATTTTCGAGTTCATGGCAAATGGAAGTCTAGACTCATGGTTGCATCCAAGAGATGATGATGAATCTCAAAGTAAGAGATTGAGCCTTATCCAAAGGCTCAATATTGCAATTGATGTTGCTTCTGCATTAGATTATCTCCACCACCATTGTGAAACAACCCTTGTTCATTGTGATCTAAAGCCAAGCAATGTTCTTCTTGGTGATGATATGGTAGCCCATGTTGGTGACTTTGGTTTAGCAAGGTTCCTCTTGGAATCATCTGATAGTTCCTCCCAAAGTCGAACCGTTTCTGCTGGGCTAAAGGGTTCCATCGGTTACATTCCTCCAGGTATGAGTTTCTACCATTCTCTTCCTAATAAGTTAATCGCCTTATTTTTTTCTTCCTATTAAACTAAAAAATGAGATCTAAGATCTAAGATCTAAAGATTATTTGACTGTGACATTCTAATGCATGTAATTTTTTTTTTTTTTGAATAGAAACTTATATATTCAAAATAGAAACAGTAACCACAGAAAAGAGAAAAATACAGGTGGATAAGGAATCCACGGGGAAACAAAAATAGGGAGCCTCAGCTCCCCCAA